ATTTACCCTGTGTAGAGCTGCTCCAGCTGAGCCACTGAGCCCCTCGTGCAGAATGTGCCCCCGCCTCCTGTGCTGGGGAGGAAGGAGCCACGGTGCCGTGGAGCTGCAGAGTTCACGGTGCAGATAACTGTGGTGGGGCTCAGCTTTTAGAAATGGTTCAGCAAAATGGGGAACTCTAAGGGTGCAACCATCCTTTTCCCCCTGCCAATCCCACGTGGAGCCGGAGGAACGCATCCTGCTTCTGCCAGGGAGCTTGGCTCTGCCGTTTATTATTGCAGCCGCTGCCATTACGCCTGACAGACGGGAGTTGCTGAGTAATGTGCTGTTTGTGTGTAAATATCTGAGCGCTCACCATCGCGCTCTCTGCCGTGGCTCTGCAGCGAGCTGCCTCAGCACCTCTCCCTGTGCAGACCCCAATGAGCATCCTGCCTTCCTTCTGCTCCCCGTGTGCCCTGTGCAGGGCTTCCAAAGTGCCAGTCTGCTGTCATTGGTCAGGGGAGGCCATGCTGCTACCCGGGTGCGAATTGGGGCAGGAAAGGGCTTTGTGTATGAATGCATGTGTGTGTGTCTGTGTGCACCTTGGGCACAGGGATGCTGTCCTAGAGTTTGCAGATGTATATTTTGCTATAAACTTAAGTCATGGACAAGTAGGAAAGCAGCTCTGTTTTGCTGTTCTGGTTTGCTCCATGTTTTTTTCCCACCTAGCTACCCAGTCCCAAGTTCCCCTTAATTTCATCCCATTACTACTGAAGATGCTGAATTATTCCTTCCTGTATCATTTTCATCCCATTTGCAGATTAGCATCCGACTCCCCCTGTCAGTGCTTGCTCAGCCCAGCTAGACTGATCACAGCCCCTTTAATCTCCCCTTGTAAATCAATCCTTTCTGCTTCCCCATCATTTTTGTCGCTCGTTTTTCTGAAATCCTTCCAATTTGTCCATTTTGTGCTGGTGACGTATGCCTGGCCCTAAACATGATGTATACCAAGCATGGCAGCGTGAGGGAAGGACACCTCCTCCCCTCCCACCCGCTGGGGCTTGTGATGCTTTGTCAGCTCTGAACTGAGTTACTTCCCCATTATTCTAAGCTATAGTCCCTGCTCGGTGTTGCAGAAGGAAGCAGCGTACCCAGGTCAGTGCCCTGGGGAGAATTCCTCCAAATTTTGGTGGTGGGTTGGCAAGCTTGGTTTGTGTGCTGCTATTGCATGCTGGTGCTCCAGGTGCTGCGTTGGAGGTGTCAGGAGACCACTGTGCCTCTTCCTGAAAAAACTCAGGGTTGAACAAGGTAAGGTGAGCAAAATGAGTGAAGACAAACTGTACAGGGCAGGAGGATGGATGGGGAAACTGAGGTTTGTGCACAGGCTCAATGCACTTCCCTCCAATACACGGGGATTTCACGTAGAGGCAGCACTTTGTACAGTGTTGCTCTTTGGAGTTTCCTTGTCCCAGACCTGAAACTCCCAGCACTGTACATTCCCACTAGCAGGGAGGGCCGTGCCCTTCCAGGGACCATCTATTTTTAGGAGGAGCCATGTTCTGGACATTGGCCACTGCAGATGCTCTCTGCCTCCTCCTCTTGGCCCCTCTCCAGGAGATCTGCTAGTGGGGAGCATTTTGCTGAGACTCTATGGGAGCATGATGGAGGTGGCACCACACAGGGCACAGGAACACCTGAGGGGAAGTCACTGCCCAGGGGTCTCAGTGGGGCTGCACTGCCCTTCTCCTGAATGGGGAAATGGCATTGGCTGAGATCTGGGGACCAGCAAGGATATGGCACATTTGTCTGTCTCTGGCTGCAATGCAGGGTACATCCCTGGAGTAGGAGGGCAGTCCAGGTGGGTGCACAAGAGGGCTGACCGTGGTGGTCCTGGTCCTGTTTGGGTGCCAGTCCCTTCACCAGGATGACACTAGGGGGCACGAGATGTGTTGGAATCCCCTTTGTTGGGAATGGGAAGGAAGGATGCGATGCAAAAGCCACTCTTGACCATTTCACCCCCTGCATGATCCCTCTGCACAGTTTGCAGGAATCTGAGCATGAAACCCCTACAGAGGCCACAGGCTGATGCTGGTGCCATGTCCTCGGTCCTTAGTCTCTGTCCTTGGTCTCTCGTCCTGCTGAGGAGAGAATGCATCTGTCCGGCTGCACACATCATGCTGCTCCTGGCCATGGGAGCAGGGGGAGCGGGGATGGGAGCGCTGAGCTGGAAGCATCTTGGAAGCAAGAAAGAGGTGGACACTGACAGGGGGTCACTGGGGAATTAGGGAAATCCAGGAAACGCCTAGCATGGTTTTAGTTCCTCCCGAGAGGCTTTGTCCAGACAGGAGCAGGTTAGGATGGACTATGCTTTGGTTTCATTTTCTGCTGGATGTTAAGTCCACTTGAGATACCTCCTCAGGATCGTGTTTTCCCAAAGCAGCAGAAACTTTAGAGAGTCAGATGTGATGAGCAATCCTGATCGATCTGGAACATGTGTATATTTATGTGTTAGCTATGTGTCCACTTGTATACCTGGGTAGGGTTTCAAAGAATGTGTTTTTTAAGATGTGTTTATGCATTTCAGCATAAATTCAACTGTCATTTTGCCTTTCGTCCTTAAAGTCTATTATTCCAGCTGTGAATACGTGTATGTGTACTAAAGCACCATATACTGCAGTCTTTCTCTTGTTATAACAAACCTTGTGAAAAAGCAAATAAAGAGACATTGTTCTCATAGTGGGCTTGGAAGGATTCAATATTTATCTTCTATGAATTTTGATAGTTTTTGTTCAGCATGTTTGCAGGTTGTGGCTTTTCTTCCTTTTTTTTTTTTTTTTTTTTTTTTTTAGCTTATCTGCTAAAAAGAATTGCACAAGCGGAAAACTGAAAACATCCAGACACATTGAGTTTATTCATTACTTAATGAGCACAGAAGTCAAGCTTCTGGTTTAAAATGATGCTTGATAACAGCCTGGCACATCTCTTTCTCCCTGGTCAGTTCTGAATGCTTTCTGGCTGCCAGACACCGGGAATCGGAGCGCTGCTTCTCTCCCAAACCCCCAGGCAACAATTTTAGGACAGCAGAGCAATGCAAACGCACCCGTCCTCCCGGAGCAGCGCTGGGAGGGTGGGGTGGGAGCATGAAGGAGATGCTGTGCTGCTTTTTGCTCTCTGTGCTCAGCCTCCCACAGCCCAGCACGGGGTTCTGTGGATTTGGGGCTCTGCTGGATCTGCTTTTAAGTGCCAAGGCTGCTTTTAAGTCAATTAGGGATGGTGTCTGAAAGTGGTGTTGTGGTTTGAGGAGGAGAGGGTGATTTGTCTGAAGGTGTTACCTAATTAGAGGGTATAGTCAGGGCCCTAATTAGCCATGACACCCTAAAGATGTCATCGATGCCCCCTGTCCCATCAGCCTTGCGTTTCCCTCTGGTGCTGCTGCTGTTTTCCAGTGATTGCTGTACGGTCGCAGAGCGAAAGGAAGCTGCAGCAGATGGAAGAATTAATACGAGCACTCAGTGGGGGAAATCTCCCCTCCCTTTCCCCCGGGGGGGTGGGTTTGTGATGCTCCCTGCTTGGGAAGGGCGGGTGAGGGAGGCTGGGGAGGTTTGCAAAAAATGATGCTGTGATGGAGGAGTGATTGCATGGGACCAGCTGAAACCTGACCCAATCCGAGGGGCTGAGTGCCTAGAGGAGAGGGGACAGGGGCATCTCCAGGACTGCTGCTCCCTGCTTGGCTCACTTTGTGCTTTCAGAGTCAGGAAACAGCACGAGTTGCTCCTTTGCAGCCGGTGCTGAGCATCAGCAGGAGCCAGGTGAATTGGGGGGCTGGCTGGCAGACAGGGACAGGAGCAGTCTTGCCCTGCCCAGCATCACCCAGTGACAGCATCCTATGGTGCCAGGGCTGAGCTCACCCCTGGAGCTGCCAACACCCAAATGCTGCCCAAGGGAGATGCTTAGCCCCAGGGCAGATGTGCAGTCCTGGAAGGGCTCAGAGCTCCTGTGGAGGAAGGAGCCACTGCTGTTCCTCTTTGGATGGGAAAATAAGGGGATTCTCAGGGCTCAGCTCCTTATTTTCTCAGTGCTGCAAGCAGCCCCACTCTGCAGAGGGGCTTTGCTGTTGTAGGCAGTGCCACTGTTCCCCTAAAGCAGATGCTCAGCCAGGCGCATCCCCATGCTGGTAATTACCAAGGGATGTCTGCTTTTAATTATGTGGGTGTTAAGGGAGTGAATGCATTTTGTTCACCAAGTTGCAGCCTGTTATTTTCCTATATCTCTTGGTCTCCGGTGGCTTTCACAATCCCTGGAGCATGGTATGGGGTAACACGGCCATGGTGATCTGCAGACCCTGATTGCCCACTCGTGAAATGAAGCAGCTGCTTGTATTACAGGTACTTTCTCTGCACCACAATCATTTTCTCCATGAACTAAAAATAATGCTGGTGACAATGAGGACACATCATCTGCTGCCATCAGACCTGGATGCAGAGGCAGGCAGCCTGTCCCAGGCTCTGCCGATGTGTGTGATTTGCCCTCTTTTGTGCATCACCTTCCTGGCCTCCCAACTGGCGGCTGAGAAATAAATACATTTAAAAAAAGGAGAGGACAAAATGCTGCTGCTGCTCTGAGGTTTGATCAAAAACGCTCTGTGCAGACCTTCGGACTCCTCACATAGGCAAGAGCTCCAGAAATAAGTTTTATGGCAAAGGTGCACCAGCATATAACTATTAATTTGGGAAGGAGATGGCTTTGCTCCGGAGGCACCTGGAGGGGGTGCGTTTTGCAGGGTGTGCTGCAGGCTGTGTCAGCTGGAGGCTGCTTTATTTGCTCTCTTTCGGTCGCTGTTTGCCTCAGCTTTGCTGCACAGCACAGCTTCCTCCTGCTGCACACCCAACACGTGTTGCACAGACACGTTCCCCTGCTCTCTGTTCTGTGCCTGCCCACCTATTTGCAGCTGAGGGAGCTGAAGCTGCCCTTTTTTTTTTTTTTTTTCTTTTTTTTTTTCTTTCTTTTTTTTTGTGATTCATAAAAAAATCTCTCTTGCTCTGGATGGAGTTGTCTGTGTGTTTATTGACTTGGTTCCGGGAACGGCGGTGACTTTTCCATCTCCTGTGTGCATGATTTCTGTGAGGGCTCTGGAGCAGTGGCCAGCCCTTGCAGCTGCCGTATCTCCAGTCCTAACATTGTTAGTCTGACAGGCCCATTGGATATGTAGGTGCATGTAGTTTTATCTTGTGCATGAAAGCGAGGTCTGTGGCTGGGCACAAAACATCACTGAAGGTGATGTAGGAGGGAGCACATTGACTCGACAGCATTGTTAGCCATACCCCAGCAGTGCTGTGCCAACTGGCTGAAGCCCCTGACTCTTGTAATGAGATGTGCATGTCTCCATTCTCATGGTGTTCTGGGGAGCTCCCCTCTTAACGATTGCAGCTGGGGAGTGCTGCAGGATAGCCCACACGTTTGCAAGGGCATTCCCAATGATGCTATTCATCCCTTCAAAACCCAGCAAGGTGCCATCAGCAGAAAGACTGTTTTCCACCTGTGCACGCTGCATGCTGATCTCCTGTTTCATGTCCATTCTGATATACACTGACCGAGCTGATGGGGTTCATTTAGCTGGGATGAGGGCTGGGATGAGTCTTACAGATGCCCTGCATCTCCACCCTGCAGTTTTTTCACAGCGTAGGCACATTTGCTGTCTCTCATCTATCTTTGGGTCAGTCGCTTTGGGCCCATGACTCCTGCTCTTCCAGGAAACAAGGGTGGAGGGTAATCTCTTTAAGACCCAAGATGGGTCCCTGACTTCAAGAGCAGGCAGCATTTGTGCTTCCTAGTTTTGACACTCTTTACCTTCAGTCAGGCCATCAGTGCTGTTCTTCTTCCAAGTTGATCTTTGCACATCCCCAAGGCTGAGAAAGGGAGAAGGCAGTGAAGCACCTCTGCCCAGGTCAAAGGTGTCACTGGCAAGGGAAAAGGCTTGGTGGTTTCAGCTTTCCCCCACATGGGATGGATAGGTATTATCTGACCAGTGTTTGGGTCTAGGATCTGGAAAATGTGGTATACGTGCACGGTGGTACCTGCATCTGTGTTTTGTTTGTGGTGTTTACCGTGGTACATTTCCATGGTCAGCAGTAAACCTTCCCACAGCATGGGGATGCAGGAAAGTATCATTGCCTCCACAGAGGGGAAACTGCAGGCTGGAATGGCTTTGGGGTTTCCTGGAGGTCCCAGAGCATACATGGTGGCAGAAAACCAGACTTACTGAGTTACAGATGGATCATGCCAGTGTGGGACACATCAGAATACTCTTTCCCTAGACAAAGCAGGGCGTCCGCCCCTCCGTGCAGTGCTCTGTGCTTATCTGCCTGCCCCTCTGGCAGCTGAACCCCTGAAATGACATTTGAAGGCTTTACATTTATTCTCTCCTGCTAGTTCCAGATCGGATTTGCTGAGTTGTCAGGCAGAAGATGCTTTTCTCCTAAGTGCTGGCCCTGCAACAGCTCCCTCTGCTCCATCCCTCCTTGCAGCAGAGCAGCTGGGCTCCTTCTGCCTCCGCCGTCACCAGCAGAGATGTGTGGGGGCTGGAGCCACAGCTTTGCCAGTGGGTGCAGGAAGAGAAACAGATTTCATCTTCCTTCTTCCCCTCTTGTTTGGGCCATGCTGGGTTCTGCCGGCAGTGGCTGTTGAAAGGTGACATACAGGGAAAGAGATGTTGGGGTGGAGAAGGTGAGGGTACTCAGTGCAATCACATCCTCCTGGAGCTGGCTGATGCGTCTGACCTATATGTGTGCACTGAGCTGGTGGGTTCTCCGCGCACAGCCCAGCCTGCAGATAACCAGGACAAGTGACACTAACAAGCAGCTTGCCCGCCAGCTCTCTACGAGGAAGGCGAGTGCTTGTCCATGCGTGGCGAATAAATTGTGCCTTTGTCCCCGGAGGCTGTCACTCTGACACTTCGCCGTGCTCTGCTGGCAGAGAGCAGCACTGGGAGCTTGCCTCGGCAAGCAGAGCAGAGACATGTGTCCCAGCTGGAAGAGAGAAATGAGAAACCTCCCTGAGAAGGCATTTGCAAGTGGCAGTGTGACCGTGCATGCTGGTGGGGTCCTTGCACGAGAAGTGGACAGCCGTGTCCCTGTGCTGGAGCAGAGCTGGGAGCAGCCTGCTGTGTGCTGGTCCTTGAGCACTGCCGAGGACTTTGTGCACTGTGGTCGCAAGCAGTAACAGCAAGGCTGGCAGCTCAGCGGGTGCTGTGTAACTGAGTACAGCAGTGATGCTTTGATCCCAGCACACAGGTAGGATGCCCTGCAGCTGCTGCACAAACAGAGCCCATGCTCAAGGGCAGAGCCAGCAGAGTGGGTGCAGAGAGGCTGTGACATAGGCGATTTCATTGTTGGCTGCAACAAGCAGCACACCCGAGGTTGCTGCTGTCACCCAGGCTGGGAGATGGAGGAATTTAATTATCCTTCTAACTTCTTCCAGAAGGGGCTTGGATGCCATAGCAGCAGACAGCTTTCTGAAACTGAGAGTACAGGGGGAGAGAAAGACAAAGCACCCTCCTTTGCTGAGTCCTGGCCATTCACCCTTCTAGTCAGCCCAGCCCAGACAGCATGAATGGGCTTTGGAGGCACGGTGGGCAAAGGGCATGGCCATGTCAGTGACACCTCCTCCCCTCTGCAGGATGTGATCTGCTGGAGGTAGAAATCTGTAGGGCTCTGCTTCACAGCCCTGCTGCATGCTGTCCCTCCTCAATTGCTGCGTGGACATTAATTTTTCCCAGATTTCTGCTTCCCTTTGAATATCTCTGCTGTGGATCATTTTCCTTGCATGTGTTAGCTGGTATTTTCCCAGAGCTGAGTCCTGAGCTATTTCCTGCCTGTCTTTCTGTGATTTCTCATGCTCCCTCTTCTGTTGCGCCTGCACCCACCTTGGCACGTGCCATTGTCACTGGGTATGGAGGTAATCTCTTGCTCTTCTCATTCAAAAAGCCTGCAGGAGGGGATGGACTGCCCATTACAAAGATTGCAAATCCTACTTGGCTCTTGCTTACACTTCCCCAGCTGGAGCAAAGTGGCTCAAGTCCTGTGGTAGCCACAGTGGGAGAACAAATCTGAAGTTTTGGGGTGGGGAGAGCTTTGGGGAGAGGGGGAAGAGGGTGCTGCAGGGCAGGTGCAGGCTGGAGCTTGAGGATGTGGTGTGAAGGGACAAACAGGGAGCTGCTGCCCTGAGGGTCTGCAGGAGGCAGTGAGAGGATGTAGGGGCTGTGGGGTGTCCTCTTTGTAGTGCTGTGGGTTTTGTGCTTGGAAGCACCTCTGTGAACTCCTTTCTTCCCTCCTTGCCTTGTACGCTTCAGCAGAGTACCAGGACAATGCTGCTTTTCCCAAAGCCTGCTGAGGATCCCCACCTCGTGCTGCACGCTCAGGAGCCAGACAGCAGCTTAAAGACTAAATATATCTGCTGCTGCAGCTCTTGGCTCCTATAAAAATAAATCTTACCGAGGTAACTTTGTGCCGTGCAGTTCTCAGAGCTTGCTTTGCTGTGGTTTCCACTGAGATAGCATTTGGCTAACACAGCCAAACATGAGCAGAACAAGCCTGGAGCTGTATAGAAAGTGATAAGATAAGGCAGGGCTATGATTTGCCTGTCTGATCCTGAAGCTTTGTGCATTATTTAGTGTGTGTAGTGAGAGGTCAGTAGCCTCCTGATAATTTTCATTAGATTAGTCAGGCAGGGTAATCACCTGCTCAGAAAAACCAACTTGACACTGTCTGTTCAATAGTTGGGGTTTAACTGAAAATAAATAGCCTTGTAATTATAAGGACACTGCCAAGGTCAAAAGGCTCAAAGATTCTCTTTCTTTTCTCCCTCTGATATGTTTACAGAGATCTTGCTATTCTTTGTGAGGTTTTTTTTTTTTTTCTTTTTTTTTTTTTCCTCCCTTAAATTCAAATCAAAAGCTTCAGAGCTCTTAAAGGAAATTCAACACTTCCATGGCAGTGGACGTGAGTGGTGTTGCAATAGCCAAATGATGCCTCTGACCCCATGCTAATGAGCGGGGCACTCATTAGTGCACTGGAGTGTGTGCTGCCCGCCCATGCAGGGCAGGGATGCACTTCCCTCCTCATCTGTGCTAATTCTGGGATGGATCCAGCCTGCAAAATCTGGCTGCAGGTTGCTCCCTGCTTATGTGGCAGAGTTCATCCCTCTTTGGGTGAGGTCAGCCCAACCCAAGTGCTGTCCTGTTGAAGTTGTGCATTAGATCCTGGGGTTGACTGCTGCTGTAGTTGGCTGCTGCTCTCTTTCAGAGAGCCCAGGGAGAAAGAGTGGAAGTGATGCTGAGCCTGCTCAGCTTTAATCAATACCAATGGGCTCTGCAAAGGGGTTCATCTATTGTAGCAAATGGGATATTAAAGCTGGGCTCAGTGTGCGTGCACTGCTGAAATCCTTGCCCTTTTCCAGCTTCAGGTGGTTGTGCTTGCTATTTATCTTCCTCAATTGCATGTGAAAACTAACGTCTGGAGGGATCTTTGTAATCTTGTCCTTTTTACAGGACTGATGCTTTCTGGATGAGTGCGGGCCAGATGCTGGTGCTCCAGGTATGTTCAGAGCTGCTGGTGCCAGAAGTGGTGGAGAGGTTGTTGTGTTCCAGCAGTGCACTGTGACCTGGGCAACCTTGCTTTGCCCAGCAGTTGGGTGAAGCAAGCTGTGATGCTTTCTGTCCTGAGCTCTGCTGTGAGCCAGGAGTGTTGCTGCCTGCTTCAAACCTGAGCACCTACATGTCACAAAAGGCAGTGTTTGCATGCTGATGTCATCACAAAGCTGTGCTTCCTTGCTTTGGTGAGCTCCCAGCACAGTCGGATGAGTTAGCACATTCAGCCCCCAAGGATCCTGGATTTTGTTTTATTTCCTCCATCCCGATGGACGTAAGTGGGGATCCTCATCACAGAGCTGGCGGGTCTGGTACTTGGCCCATCTTCGCAGCAGTCTGTTGCTCTCATTCTCTGTCATAGGCTTTGATGGATGCCTCAGGGATAAGGAGGGCAGGGCAGGGACCGATGTGCCAAATGACGGATGGTGCGGTCTGGTGAGTGACGCCGCGCGGCCGCGTGCGGGTGCTGCCTCCACAGGAGGAGAGGGGCTGCCTTGACAGCTTGTTTTGAAAGCAGAATGACTTCAGGGCTGGATTCTTTTTTTGTCCTCCCTTCCAGCTTTATTCCCCCCCCCCCCCCCCCCTTTTTTTTCTTTTTGCCTGACAGAAAAAGCATAACTTGTCTTTGTTTAATTGGTGCTTTGTGCCTGTCTCCTGCCAGAACTTAACGGAGAGGGGGCTGGCTGGATCAAAGCAGCTCGAAGTTGGGAAGCTGTTATACATCCAGCCTGCCTGTTTAAAGTGAAACCCCACTTTTATTTCCCCCCCTCCCTCCCAGCTGCAATCCAGTTCCTGGCACACAGTGAAAGCGGCTCATTGGCTGCTGCTGCGAGCCCCCCTTGGAGCAGCCTGGTGGCATGGGGGTGTGAGCTGGTGTGCTGCTTGGAGCATCAAATCGACGTGTGCTTGTGAGGCTTCAGTCTGTTTCATGATCTTACAAATAAGACCTGCTGGCGTCTGAAACACAAAACAAATGCATTGTGGATCGAGTGAGGAAGCAGTGTTGTTTGGGCAGACATGGACGTGCTGTCTGCAGGGCAGAGCGGGGTTAGAGCAGAGCTCCAGCTCCCCAGGTATCTCTGGTCTCAGTCTCATCACTCTAGAACATCAGTGATGTGAGGCCAGGTAACTTCTTGCAGGAAGGGCTGTATACAGGAGAGAGTTCGTGCCCTTGCGTTGTACTCAGCCTCTGTCTCTGGCAGAGAACAGCATGGGATTGCCCATGCTATGAGACCTACTGCAGCCTTTGCAGAATGGTCTTGCCCTGCTTTTTGCAGAGCAAAAGCAGCAAAGTGAAATGCTGTGGTGTGTGACTGGTGCCCGGCTGTGTGCTCGCTCCTGTGAGGGGCTGAGTACTTCCCAGTGCTGCTTGCTGCAGCTTTGCCTGGACTCAGGGATGGGTTCAGCGTCCTTTTGAGGTTCCTTCCAGCTGAACCTGTCCCTGTGCAAAGGGTGTAGTCAATTGCTTTGATTTTTTTCTATTGTCAAATTTTCTTCTGCCATTTGCAGGGGCAGCCAGCAACTCATACTTGTTCTGGTTACAGGGTGGATCCTGACCTTGCTGGACTGTGCTTCTTGCTGTCTGCATCATGTGAGTTTTTGACTACAGCCTTGGCACATGAGGTGGTTGCATGTAGCTTTGGTACGGGAGAAACAAGGTGCCTGCTTATTTCTGAGGCATCTGAGCAAACCTGCTGGAAGGTTATAGGTCTGTAGGAGTCCCTAGTCTGTTTCTTAGCAAGATGGGAGCAAAGCATGAAGCAGCTTGTCTGTGAACATCAGGTTCCCCGTGGCACCTTACAGAACTTTGCTGCAGACAGCGAAGGACCTGCTGCAATGAGCAGGTGGCGACTGGAATGGAGATGTGTGGGCTGTAAAGGCATTTGGGGAGAGAACTGAGAGCGCAGCTTGTGCTGGGCTGAACTAAAGCGACAGCCAGGTGTCCATGAGAAGATGTCAGTGATATCTCCACAACCTGACAGCCCTCACTTCACCACCGAAGGGCTGTGGACGAAGTATAAATAGTGTTTGGTGAGTGCTCCTCTGCAGAGGGGATGAAGTGAGTCCTGTCTGGAGTGCTGCAAATCCAGGGTCACACTGTGTGTGCTCATCCCTTAGCATCCTGTCTTGCTCAGACGCCAGGTAAGGAGAGCAAACCACATCTGTCAGAGACCAGAGCCCCGATGGAATATGAGCATTGAGAGAGGGAGATACGGTATTTATACTGTGGTCAGGGCAGGATGCCCAAAGGAAGAGGTATTTCAGAGAATACCCTTGGGCCATATTCCTTGTTTTCTTGGGAGCTTTGGATGCTTTCATGGGAGAGAGTGTTGTTTGTTTTTTGTCTTTTGTTTTTTTTTTAAAAAGCAGCTCCACTGCAGTAGGATCCTAGTTTACTCAGTCATGTCCTTAGAGCTGTCTGTACTCTCTGTTTACGGTTTTTTTTTTCTCTTTTGGACAGCCTCGCTTCTTGCAGAGCTTCTCCCAGTGTATCCCAGCTGGGTGAAGCACTGATGCACTGATGCTCTAGATCTATCTTTCCTATATACTGGCAAAATTTATTTAGCAGATAAGTGTTTCAACCCCTTCTCAGAGTTGTTGCCTGTATCGATTTGTCAGTGGGAAGAGGGGAAAAGCAGCAGCCACCTTCATGAGCCATTTCTTTCCTATTTTCAGCTGTGTAGGCTTGTAACTACTAGGCTCTGACCACACCATGCTGACAACTGTTAGGGATGCCTGGAGCAGAGCAGGGCAGGTGATCTCACCTGTTAGTGATGGGATGAGCCCTTTCTGGTTTCCTCTGACCCTTCTTCTACCTGCCCTTTTGTTGCTGTGCTCTTGTCAGTGGAAAATAACTGGTATACATACCTATTCTTAAGTCCCTGAGGAGTCTTAACCTTATTTCTAAGCTTAGAAATACCATACTCCATAGGGCAGAAATTGAGGGCTGCAGTAATTCCAGCATTACACCAAAGCCTCTGGGGAGCAGCTGGCTGTTTCCCTGGGACTGCAGCATGTCAGAGGCCGTGGCGGGGCTGGTATCTCCTGCCTCTTGCTGCCAGATATGTGATGGACAGGGGCGATGGGGAGGAGTGCAGGCTTTCAGCAGGTGGGAGCTTTGTGCCTTTCTCCTTTCCCAGGGGACCAACTTGCTGCTCACCTAGTGAGAGCTCAACCTGCTGCAAGCTTTGCCTGTTCAGGGATGGCCCCTTTCTGCATCCCCATTCCTCATCTCTGGGGTTCAAAGCTGGGGTGAGGGGAGAGCCCTAATTACCCCTCTTCCCAAGGCTCCCGCCTGTGTTAACGACCTGTAATGGGATGGGCTGTGTTAGCCTATTAAGCCCAATGGGGTTCCTTGTAGACCTAAGTGTGAGGAATTTCTCTCAACCATGTTAAAACATTTCCATCCCCTGTAATAGCGTCGTGCATTGATTTAACCCTATGGCAGCTGGAATTGTTTGCTGGGAACAGCCATATGGAGAGCTGTCCTGCTGTCACGCAGCTCCTTTGGCCAGGGTTTACATTTCTGGGGGATCTGATTAGCACCGGGGCTGCTCTCACTCTTGCCTCCTCCCGGCTGAGCCCTTGCGGGAAGCAATTTTCCTTCCATTGAGCTGAGCCTGGCTTTGCTGCTTTTAATGAGAGTAATTTTGCCCTGGCTTGTATCAGCCGCAGCCCACCTGCGCTGCCAATTACCCCGGCAGATCTGGCGTGACCTGTGGAGCTGGGAGCAGCCTGTCCAGGCTTTAAGTGTTTCTGAGCCGTAAGGTGTGAAAAATCTCACCAGTGTCCAAATGGAGATGGAGGGGAAACGGCTTTCCGGGTTATGAACGACCTCAGGACGCACTGGCATCAGGTGCTGCTGGTCTCAGAGGGATTTGCAGAGAATCAAGGGCTTGCTAATGTCAGGCGCGTTGCCAGCGTTTTGGGAAAGATATTCTCCCTAATTGCAGGCTGCCTGCCCTAATTTTTGTTGTTGTTATTGAATTAGTTAAATGTGTATTGTAACACTCCAGTGCCTGGGCAGACCTGGAAAGTATGTGTGCAAACATGCTGAAAGGGCTCTGCGGGAGGGAGAACGGTGGTTCTGCTGTATAAACACAATGCATCTGTGATGTTTCTGGAGAAGCCAGTGTCCATGCCATTGCTGACCTGGACATTGCACAGATTTACCTTCTGCAGTGTCTGTGTGAGCATGATTTCCTCATGGCTTGAGGATAGTGCTCAGATGCCTACCTGCCTCCTTGTGATTGCTGTCGTTGTCGTGACTTTGGTCATATTTGAAGGAGAATATAGGGTTGACTGCATCCTTTGGGCCCCTCTGTGGTGCAGGTAGGTGGATGGCTGCAGCACTGGTGCAACAAACCCTGTTGTAGGGCTCAGTGCCTGTGCCCATGTTTCTGCTGCAGCCCCTGTGTGCAAGTACACTGATACAAGGTGTGCATATAAAGATGGGGTTGGTTTGGGATGCTGTCTTGGAGCTCAGGGTGTGAGGTCTGGAGTAGATGGAACACAGACAGTGAGGCGCTGGCTCTGCTGCCCAGAGCTGTGGTGCCCCATCCCTGGAGGTGCTCCAGGCCAGGTTGGATGGGGCTCTGGCAGCCTGAGCTGGTGGGGGCAACCAGCCCATGGCAGGGGGTTGGGACGGTTTGGGTTTTAAGCTCCCTTCCAACCCAAGCCATCCTGTGGTATGATTCTACGGTAGGATCGTACCTGGCTTACTCCTTTAGCACAGGACTGCTAATTACCCATACATTATTGCTCCCACTTTTTGTTATCTATGAGCCTGTGAGCAGTCACTGTAAAAAGACCAAGCAAAGAGGGAGGAGTTTGAAAAGGAGCACAGTACAATGTTAACCTCAGATGTCTCCGAGACATCACTGTGCAAAGAAGCAGTTCTCTGGGAATCAAAAAGCAGCTTAATTTATCCTCCCAAATTTCAATATTGCTTTTATTCAGCAAGGCCAGGAAGGTTCAAGTAACAGATTATTATCAACACGTTCAACACGCACCTAGGGAGTCTGCTTTAGCAGGAGAATAGATGATCTCCTGAGGCCCCTTCTGGTCCCTATTTTGTGATTTTGGAGGCTGGCTGGGCAGCACAGTGACCACTTGAGTGCTGTGGTCTTGGTGCAGAGGAGGGGGTGCTGGGGACGGAGCTGTGGCAGCATGGCTGTGCATTAAGTGACTTATTACAGCAATAACAAATGGAGTTAACTCTAATTAGCTGGGATCTTGGGAAGAGGGGGAAGGGGAAGGCTGCAGTTTGCATTGTCACAGGAGAGCAGTGCTCAGAAGGCTGCACGTGAGGGCAGTCGGTGACATTTTGGGTGGAAGCTGTGCTTGCTCTCTGCCTGTGTGTGGGCCAGCTTTCTCCTTGATGTGTCATTCAAAAGTGTGGTGCTTGATAATTGATGCCACCGTGATTAAGCATA